CCTGTGTTGCCAATGACAATTTCTATTCAGTCAGCACAAATGCCATGGTTATTTATGCACTTTCATTATTTTCAGACCAAGTTCCTGCTTGAATCCTTGTCAAATAATGCAGAAAAATTCCCAACTACCCAGCAAAAAAAAAAAAAAACATTTTAAATGGCAGTCAAAATATGCACAATAAAATTAAATGGATTTTTTTAAAAGGTAGCTCGGGCTTACACTTAGGCCTCAAGGTCACCATGGCGTATGCGTCATACATTATGGCAATTGGAGGGCAAAATTTTATGTTAACTGCTGTATGTAGACACAAGGAAGCTGCAGACATACAATAAATGTATATTGTTAGAAAATTTGATTAGATTAATTATCCATTATTAAGAAATTTGCTGTATCTTCACTTTTTACGTAATGTTTTATATCAACACATGATACCTTAAATTTAAATGTTATGCGAAATATTCGATATGCATTTATTTTAATTATGTATCGTAGAAATTGTGTTGTATATCTTCTGCTGGTATCATATATCCTTGTTTATACTTTTTATAAAAACATATTTGATATCTCATCTCCTGTATCTAGTATATTATACATTTTATCTGATTGCCAAAACTTTGCTTTAATATATTTAAGGATGCACCCTTTATATAGTGTATAACATATTGTATCTTCATTTAAATGAGTTACATATTTTTTATATTATCTATATTCTGTGGATACATCAATTACTTCTTAATTCCTGGAATTCAAGTGCATGGAATTCATATAATTTTCGATTTACCGACTCTTCGAATATCAGGCACATTGTCGCGTCTGCTTGCTTAACACAAATATCAATGATTGCATTTTGATTCGCTGCCTTTGTGTGCGACAAAATACAGACGCAGCGCTGCAAAGCAGCTTGCCACAATGCAACAATCACAATGTCAATCTGCACTACGCAATCAGTTTATTTTATTCAGCTATCAGCAAAGTAGCTGCCACTCAGCGCTGTACACAGACGTTGGAGATAGAACACACGCATACACACTTGGGCACACACGCAGAAGTACGCACACAAGTGGACGACAATGGCTTATTTGTGAATCCTTGGCACACTCGTGTATGTATTAGTTTGTGTCAACAGAAGCTTTGCGGCAGAAAAGTGTAAATAAACAAATACTCGCCCTAAGCAGGAACCGAAGCCCCGACACCCAGAAAGCCTGCCACACAGTCGAATGAGCCAGCCAGTGGATGTACAGGTGCGCAGACACAAGGCCACCTCAGCGCCAGGTAATAAAATGCGCATTTGTGCACGAATTACTGCACTTGGGGCTGCATCTGTAGCTGTTGCTGCCACTCACTGGTCTCGCCAATATGTATGCCCCACTGGCTACTCACATGCCCCATGCGAAATTTTTCCCATTTTATGCTTTCCCTGCGACCGCAACAGCCCAAAAAGTTGTGTTGAGCAAAGTTATTTTCAATAAGCAGCTCGCGGGCATACGGCCAAAACTGCAGGAGGAACAACAGGATAACCAAAGAGGACTTGAGCCGAGTATGCTCGAATAAAAGATACGCTCCACATACGTGTTAATTAATGTTATTAATTAATTCCCAATAATCGATCAAGAATGGACGCCACCCAACATACAAATTAAAAATTAAAGAGAACAAAGTCGTTTACAAAGACAAAATTTGGTTGAGCACGCGTAAGTAAATGTCCATAAATGTAGCATCTTAATGATATTTAAAAGTTTATACAAACTTTCACTGAAAATTAACGAAAAATCTATATGCGAAAGCGTCAATCGAGTGATAAGACTGTAAGACATTAAATGTCAGCTAAGTGGGGCTTCATTCCAATATTAAAGTCTTATTAGGCCAATATACGCTAGGTTGAAAGCTTCCACATTCTGCTAAATATTACCTTAGCTTCACACGTTTCCTGGTAGGGTATATCAGACCATAAATATGCATGAGCTGTAAAAGCAAGTCACGGCATAGTTAATGCCGACACGACAGAAGTAGTGCTCTTAAAGTTCATTGCATAAACAAGAATAGTCGAGCAGGAAACTACTCGGAGGGACTGATTGTCTGCCTGACAGACTGACAGACAGGAGCGCCATACATTTTCGTGCTGGCAACTATTTTTATTGCATATTTTTGGGGCTGCGGCAAAATTAATTGCTCTTGAAGTATGCACATTAAATTTAATGAGCTGGCAAGCACCAGCGTATGGCGGATGGTGGATGGCTGCTGGCTGCTAGCGGCTGTCGACTGGCTGCTGGATGCTGGATGCTGGCTGCTGGCGTCTGGCTGATAGCAATGCACGGACGCGAGGTGTGAGGGCAAAAGCGCTTAGCTGCAATTAAGCTTAATTGTAGCTGCAATTGTCGCTAAGCAGCCAAAGCAGAGGCAGCTTGCGATGTTGCAAGAGTTGTTTAACAGCTACTTAAAAGGGTCAGTCTCTGCTCAATTGTGCTGCACATCGTGCACACGCCCCGTGGTTGCAGGCGCGGTAGCTGCCTGATTTGGCATCAAGCGGCAACTGGCAACACCAACAGCTGTAAATACGGCGCATGGTTCAGTGTGCAGCTAATGGAGTTATATAAAATTTTAGAACATGGTAGGTGGCAATTGCTATTCGCAGTTGCCATGGTTGCCGTTTCAATTGTGCTGCTGTTCCTTTGTTTAACACACACGCACACACAAACACATACATATACACACACACAGTCCAATGCACGCACATTTGTGTATAAGCGGGAAGCTAATGTTACTGCAGCTTGCACCAGCTCATGTCGGCTCATTAAGTATGAATGGCAATTGGAAAGCGTTTTGTAGCCAGTAAAGCCAGGTAGGTTGATATTCGCAGTGAGAGCTCATATTTCTGGGTTTGCAACAAGTTTCGAATTGTAGCAAGGAAGCACACAACTGCAATTTCATTTTGCATTCGCAATTTGCATTGTGGGCTCGCCTAATTAGAAGAAAATAGAAATGGTAAAAGGATACGCCGGCACAAACATTTCCACATAATTCAAACAGCAATTTAAGTGAATAACTTAAATTTTCTCTCTTGGATTAAGGCAGAAAAAATATATTAATGAATAAGTATGTCGACGATTTCGAAAATTCCTATCACATCTGTGAAAGTTGCATGCTTCGATTTTGCTATCTATCGAATCGTTTCAAACTCAATTTCAAAGACCTTGTTAAAGTTTATTCACTTATTATTTTTACATAATCCACCTTACTTGCATGGAGAGTTCGGGTCAAAGGTTGAATTTACAAGGTTGATTTAACAAAAACCAAACAACTAACATGGGCGGAAACTATGGATTCTATGACGAGCAGTTCAATATGGTACGGCAATATTAATATTATGAACAGGCGAGATGAGAGTCAATAAGCTATAAATACAATTCGAAGCACATAACTGGCACGGAAAAGGCCAAGAAATACCCGCTAGTTATTATATACATATTTAATATATACATGAGCAGCTGGAATTCAATCTTTAATCTTAATTCGCAGTTGTGATGGCATCATTGGATACGGATCAGCAAACTTTTAATTGTTTTTAATCAGCGGCGACTGCTGCTGGCTTTCAGTTTGCCGTTGGTTTTATAAAGTGACCGTTGATTAAGCAAGTGATTTATATGTTTTCGATTTCTGCGATATATGTATGCTCGAATCCAACGCCCCTATAGCAACCGCCCAGTATAGACAGCTTGCTCACCGTTTAAAATAAGTTTATTTTCCCATTTAATAGGCTTTATAGACCTTAAACCAGATGTGGTAGGCGTAATATACTCTGGATTGTCTACTAATATAAGAACGTATTCCTTTCTTATTATTTTTGTGAATTCTCCCTTGACTTATGTCTACAGGGTATTCCACAGTCTTAATTGACAAATATTTACAGGTTTTTTATTTGATTTCAATGATTTTATGGTCAGAGACCATCAAGTGGTATTCGTATCGTTTATTGCTTTAAATCGTTTATTTAATTCAATTTTAATTTCAGTTTTTACATCGCAGCGGTGCTCGTGAAAGTATTTGACGATATTTTGTTTGCCCTCCGTAAGTGCAGTGCAAATAGAAATATCTTGTGCACTTGCCGGCCAGTCAACATTTAAAACAAATTAAATTCTTTGCAACATTTGCCACAAAAACAAACACACACATAAACATTGAAAAGTAAGAGAAAACAGAAGACAAATAAGTAAACCGAAAATGTGAATGAGGCGCTGTGGAACCATCGCATAGTTACCAAATTAAAGTTAAGCCCGGGTCAAAATAGTGGTCCAGCAATGCACGAGTCGACCTCCGGGCAATGGCAACGTCATTAAAGCAATGCTACGCATAGTTTGGCAAACTGATGCCACGACCCAGCAGCAGGGCAGCCAAGAGGCCAGTGGGCACGCAGGAATGCGGCGCTGTTCATGCTACCAACATTTTATGAACGCTACAACAAAATTGAAACTTTTGATTGAATACAAACTACAATCTCGCAGAAGCAATGAGGCGATGGAGCTAGTTCCTTTCAACTTTGCCTGAGCATCCTGCCGGGTTACCTGCTCCTGCCCTGGCCTGGCCTGGCCTGCAGCGTGCTTCTCTGCTTCGCCAACTTAGTTTTCTAAATTAAAATAATACAATAAAGATTATATGTATTACATTGCAGGCAGTCAAGCAGATGCAGTCCTGCTAGCTACAGTCATACATATAGCTGAGCCAAGGCCATGTAGGCAACTTTTGCGTCAATTTGCGAGAGTTTTGCCCTATGTAGAAGATGTTGATAGTACGAATACTTGAGTACATAAACTTGTCCATGCAGTCTCCCCGAACAAGTTTTATTTTGCATCACCAAAGTTGACAAAACATGTGCTCTCAATATAAAAGAAAAATGTTTTTCAGAGACCCTCCTCAACTTTGAATACCAAAGCATAAATTAGTCAACAATTAGGCACGAACAATGAAACGCAATTTACTAATTGAAAAGCAAAACAACTACTAGCTTTTATTTTTTGCCCAAGATGAAGTATCTTTTTAACCAATTTTTTTACAAATATATGATGACTTTTACATCTAATTTTATTCTCTAGCTTTTTGAAAATATGTCCTCCAAGTGGAATCAGACACTTTGCATCCTCCAAAAAAACGCGACAAGCAATTTTGCGGCTTATAACAAAAATAACCTTAAGCAAATGAAGGAAACGCAAATGAGACAGAGACCGGCTATTTAATTCCCTTTAAGTAGCTTTAAAGTACAGCAAAAGAACATTGAAATATAAAGAATAAAATTTCAAAAACTAGTAGGGTACTTTACCTGTTTTGGTGTTATGTTAAGCATATTATGTTAATCCAATCAATTGCCATCATTTTAGTCGAGTGCTCAAGAAAACTCGGACAGCAGCCACACAAAAACAAATATATACACACACAGGTCATATAAAAAACAAAAGAAGGGAAAAGAAAGAAAGAAAAAATACAAAAAAAATACGTTGCTCAATTTAAACGTCGGCCAAAGTATGAAGCGATAATAAGTATAATAAAGACTGCCAAAAGTTTCAAAAATGTGTGTCAGAAATAAAGGAGGGAAAAAACAAAGCAAATGTCTAACGGGAAATTCATGTTGATGAAAAATGTTTTTCATGCGCGCCACCATTCGCAGCGAATTGATGATAAAGTGGAGGGCTTCCCTTCAAAGCTGTATATGTGTGTGTGTGTGTGTGTGCGTGACTATCATTGTGCGCGCTCATAGGTTCAGGGGCATACAAATGACTTGACTAAAAACGAAATAGGCCTAGGCAAAAGAAAACAGCAATAACGAAAGCCCAGCTAAAACGAAAAAAAAAAAACAACAGAAACAATAAGAACAAGCACATCAGAATATATCTCACTTGATAAAGGCTCAAGCAAGAGAAACCATATAACTGTACGCTCAAAATGCAACTCACTCAACCGCACCCACATCCGGAGCGTCGCCTCGCTGGGACAGCACGCACAGCTCAACAGCAGCCAATGTAAAGTCTGTAGCTAGAAATGTGTCACAAAATGACCTTGAGTTTCACTCAGTGAGAGTCGTATTGCAGGTCACCCAATTCTTGTTGGCTGTTGCTTGGCGAGTCTTGAGCTGAGTTCTGATTGATATTGAGCTTATGTTAAACTTATGTTACCGTTAACAGCACGCAGAGCGGGTGTCTGTATATGGTAAGTTAGCGCTGGCTTTGTTGACATAGTTTGATCAAGGAGACTCAACAATACATTGCGGTAAGCCTGGTAGATCTAGGGCACGAATAGTTTGCTTTTATTGCCATGAAATCGAAATAAAATCGATTTTGACATTCTGTTACGTAACATTTGATATATAGGCTCTCGTATAGTATACTCAGATGTTGACACTCCCGCTCAAGAGTCTCTTTATGTTCCCAAAATTTAATAAAGATGAGACCATAAAAACACTTTTAAGCATTGTGGTATGGAATATACATACCCATTTGTAGCTGGACAACATTTTTAATATAATATTAAATAATACAAGTCGCATTACAGATAATGTTCAACATTTCTCTCATTTCCGACCATAATTTCGGGCGGAAATACTTTGCTTCCCAACTGCCCCGCAACTTGAAAGACTTCCTTTCATGACTCGCTGACTTTGTCGAATTGCTTCCAATTTTGGCAACATTCGGTGACACCTTGTTAACATGCTCTTTGACGCTTCACGGCTGCTTCTGCTGCTGCTGCTCTGCTGTACAGTCTTTGCCAGTTTTTGCTGTTGCTGGAGGCATAATTCCTTATTAAACTTGATTGAGCGCAAAACTTCATTACTCCCTTGTAGGTATACAGGACTCGTTTTGTTTTGGGTTTTTGTGCTGTTCTGTTTGTGTGTGTGTGCCGGAAATTTAATTTGGTGCCGTGTGAACAAACAAAAAGTTTTGCAATGGGGCGACAAGTGCTTACAATTCATTTGGCTGCTGTTAAAATTCTTAAATAACCTTTTGCAGCTCTGAGATGCATCTGCAGCTGTCGCACGCCTCCTTCAAGGGATTATGTTAATCACAAGTCTGCACTTTAACAAGTTGCTGTGCACAGAACTGTGCAAAAAGTCACAAGGCCGGCACCGTCGCTACTTTTGAAAGAACTTTTGTAAAGTCGCTGCTGTAGAAAAAGAAAAGGCGAAACTCTAAGCTGGCACTATAAAAGATGACTTCCTTCCTGGTGCTGCCCTGTGCTGTCCTCGTTTTTGTGCACCAAATTCAATGCAATCTGTTGAGGACATTCATGCCCAGGCGCTGGCCCGCTGCTGCGTTTCATAAAAATATTGTAGCATAACTTTGGGCGCGCCCGTTTAGCAAGTTGTCTTCTATTAGCGCATAGAATTTTTCATCGGCCAGCAACGCCAGCTGGCTAGCAAATTAAGCTAATGCAACAAACGGAAAACGGCTGGAACTGTTGCTTAATGGCTGCCCCAGATGGGTCAAAGGCTGGTGGGCGGATTGGTTGGTGGATTCAGCGCGTAGCCTGCCAGTTGGCTGTCAAAAATTGCTTATGGCCGCGTAAACGAAAATACCCTGAAGCCAATTTGGCAACCAAAGTCATCAAGTGCGCACACGCACGCCTCAATAAATTCAATTTACACGAATTTGTAAAGGCATCGCACCGGCTGACGAGCTCCGGCAGCGAGGACACATCGCACAAACATCACCATATAAAACAGACAAAAACTTATGCTCCCAGAAGTCTTGCAGGTGCGAACAGCAAGATAAACACTGCCAGAGGCAGCAGTTGGACGCATGGGCTGGGACCGCGACAGCTGGTGCAGGCAGTGGCTCAGCCAGTGCCAAAGCCAGCGGCATGAGCTATGCGGTTAGTTAGATGGGCGGCAGTGGGGCGGTTTTATTGGCATCGACATGCATTAGCGGCAACACAAAAGCGAGCTGAGTAAAAGTCAAAAATAACCGCAATAACCGACAACCCAGCCACGTCCGACGCATGTACTACGACGCCAATAACAACAACAACGGCAACAACCAGCGAAAATGGTAACAGCAACAAGCTGAATTGCAAAAGAAAACTTTTTGTACATTGCGGCAGTCGCTGTTGTTGCTGCAGCTTGGTCTAACTTGGTTCCAGAGACGGGGTTGGGGCAAAAGGCACCTGATGATTGCTCAAGCCCATCAGCACCATGTGTGTGTATGGGTGTGTGTGTGTGTATTTTGTTGTTTGGATACGTGCAAAGGTGTAAATTAAATTTCAACGCCAGCACGAGCATTGCATGCCAATGTGAGCGCCCGCTACAGGACCACAGCGCGCCAATCCGAATCCAAATCCAAATCCCAATCCAACTCAATTCCAGTCCACCTGCTGGCCAAGGTGTTTCTGCTAGCGCTCGTTTACTTTTTCTACTGTTACTTTCGAGTAATCTGTTGCAGCAGCCGGTTGCGAATTGCTTCTAACCTTTGCACTAATTTCTATTGCATCATTTCAGTTTCGATGCAACGATTAAATGCCGGGCTCTTAGTCCGTTTGTAGCCATGCTGAAAATAAACGCTAACATAAGTAGAATTATTTCCTGAAAGTATCTCTTAACTGGCGGATTCTCTCTGGATGGACGCAAGCCGCCGCGTAAGCTAACAATTGTTGAGAAAGCGCGTGCTGACTATGACTGGAGCGCGAAGAAACTCATGAGCACATACTGGAGGATTGTCAAGCTTTAAGCAAGCTGTGACTTTTTCAGCTTGGGGAAGAGATTTTCGCTTTTGAGCCTGTCCCTAGCTGCCTGTGTATAAGAGTCAAGCTGAGAATGACCTAGAAAATACACTTTCATGCTCTAAGCCCATTGAAGCAGGTCAAAGTGTAAAAATATTTTAGTATGTAGGAAAAATTCAAAAGTAAGCATCTTTGCCTCCATATGCGAACTCGAGCTAGATCCCTTTGTCTGCACTATGTAAGATTCATTCTTCAATAGCGTTCCTGCTCATCGTTCCATTTATTTGGGCCTAATATCACATTTAAGAGGGGGACGTGAGGCAGGTTTCCAAATAATGAAATATTTATAATCTGTTTTTACAACTCCATTTGAAGTTCGACAACTTTTCGAGTTGTGTTGTCTATTGTCTCTTAGTACTAAAGTGTTGTTTAATTTTTCCACATTTTAATTGTCTCTTACAGAAATCTTAAAGCTTGTTGTGGCACCGCATGAAAGTGTTTTGTGGCCAAATACCCCGACTAGGGCGTATTTAGGAATTCTATACTGTTTATAATAATATTGTCTAGAGCCTGCGGGCAGGTTGGTTTGCTGGCTTGTCGCCTTGACGGCTGCTGTTTTGTAAGCGCCTTAGCAACGCAAAGTAATTTAAGCGCAGAATGTCGAACTCGACGCAAGGCAGTCAACAATGGAATTTAAATTATGCACAGTCTCCCCAAAGGATGCGCTCACGCAACAAAGGGTCCCGTGAACGCCAGTGCCGTGCAGCAGGAGATGGTGGTCACCAAAAAAATATTTTATATATAGTTGAAAACCAACGAGATGTTCTTCATGCTAGCACCGTGCACAAAGCGAGTGGCAGGCGGTCGCACTTGAGGACACTTTGTGCAGTGCAGCAGGAAAATGTCGTGTTCTGTTTGCGCAGGTGCCTGCAAGGAGTTTCAGTCGATAACTACTTGAGTGGGACAGGCTTATTGAATGCTATTAACAAGCTCATAGCGCCAGCATCGATATTGTCGATTTTCATACGCACCGTTGTCCCATTGAGTGTAGCCCAGGCTCAACAGCTGCGGCTGCTGATTAACAATGAGAGCCAGGTGCCCCATTATCGATGGCCCATTGTGGCCGCAGCTGCAACTCCAGTGGACCGCACCGACCGCGCTGATGAATTGACCCACTGGGCTACTGCATTCACTCTGTACCGAAGCGCGTTAAATGTGTTGTAATTGAAATGCATTTGGGTGCATCGAACAAGTGTGCAAATGAACAAGTGCCCCACACACAGAGTCACGGACATAAGCTGTAGCTCATTAACATTGTCTGCCAACCGTTGAATGCTTTACCTGCTCCGAAGCAATGGGAGCTTGTGGCTTGGTGTCACATAAGTCGCATTAATTGCCAGCTATTGCTATCTGCCTCACCTGTTTGCCAGTTGCCACGGCAACAAACGTGACATTTTGGCTTAAAGTGCACAAACTGACTATTTTCCAACAGCTGGCCATGGCTCTGACTGGTACATATGTGGCTCGAATTGCTCGCACATTTTTGCTGTAGTTCATAAAATATAAGCAGTTGAAGCATGAAATGTGTTGCATTGTACACACACGCACACACACATGCAACTTGTGTGTGCACCATAAAAAATGGACACTTAAATTGCTTAGGAAGCGTGCCAGGCAGTGTCTTAATTTTCCGCAGGATGTGCGCAATGTCAAAAGCAACATTTGATAAATGGTTCATGGGCGTGGTACGACCAGCAGTGTGTGTAAATATGTGTGTGCATGTATGCGTGTGCCAGTGACTGCAAAGGGCAACAAAGAGTGATAGAGCGAGTGTATCTGTGTGTGCATCTGCATATGCTCCACTTGAATATTTATGTGATTTTTATGAAGAATGCTTAAATATTTGCAGCTCGGGGCAGAACGAAACCTTGTAGATTTTTCGACAAGCATTTAGATAAGATATGAACCACCATTAATACTTAAAATTTAAGTACATATTTTGTTTCAATCTCCTTGTAATATCAAGTTCTTCGTAAAACCTAAGGTCTCAGCGTGAGCAAAATAATTAAATGAGTTGATCTCGGAGCTTGCTTTAAGTTTAGCCCCGTTGAGGACCCTATAAATTACATAACAACAATCCTTGTTAATTGGGTTCATAGCTTTTGCTTTAATTGATATTTATGATGCCAACCAGAAAGCTCTAGCCACGGCTAGCAGCTCCAGCTCAAGCCGAGTACGGTTTAGTGTTCCACTCTTTTGTGCTCAAAGCACAAACACGCTCATATTAAAACGAAGTCCTCGTATGGCTTTGTACATCCTGGTTGAGCAATACAAAAACAACCCACCGTACGTCTTTTACTTTACCAACGCATATATAAATATATGTAATTTTTTAGTAGTCAGTATTTCCCTGTTCGCTTTTTAGAAAGAAATGACATTATTTTAACTATATTTTTACGATTTGTTGTTCAGCTCACTGGTTTCCAAAAAAAAAAAAAAACAAAAAGAAGTATGCATATCGAGATTGCCCGACTAGAAGATACCCTGAAAATAATTATTGATTTTTACTGGGTTCGCTAGTCGAATCAACTACTGCCCATCGCCGTATACCTTTCCGCTAACTAACTTTCGACTACTGAGGAATAATAGATATACTTTACGGGATCGGAGGTACTGCATGTTACTTGCATTTGCCCAAAACGATTATTACCTTTTACCCATTTTCAATTGATTCAGGGTATAAAACTGCCAACTGCCTCCCATTTCGTTGGAAAGTACACGCAGGCAGTTTCTAGGGATGCTCTGAAGCGTAAATCTAATGAAATTATTTTATAATTTGTACAACGCTTCATTGAAGCCGTATGCAAATACGAAGCTAATGCGATTAGTCAATAAGTCGGGAACGACAGTCAATTTCGCGAGAAATTCCAATTAATTCTGCATTTACAGCCAAGTTCGAAATTCAATTAAAATATGCACAAGATTTATATGACCCAAACTGATTGAGTTTATCATTTTTATTTTATCTTTTAGGAATACGCAATCAATAATAATTGTCTATTTATGTTTCTTTCTACTTTTGGAGTGTTTTTGTAAAGCTTGCTGTAGCCACGATTTTTGCGCGTCTGTTCGCATTTGGCTGAGAAAGTTTTGTAGAAAAAGTTGGCTCCGTTTACAACATAATGAAAAGGCAGAATTTGAGCAGACTTGCCCTTGCTGCCCATATGACAATTGAGCTAATTGCATTAGTTGGCAGCTCGTGTCTTGGGGATGCGCTGGGACATGAGCTCCATCCTAAAAGCATAACAATAAAAGTTTCGGATATTTTGAGATATTTATCTTAATTTTTAGCTGTCCAATGGAACAATAGCAGCACAAGAGTTAAGTTAGTCAATAATAAGCACAACAGCAAAACCAAAGTGAGGAGAAAACCAAAAAGCCTTTTTCTTGGCCCGCCCTTCGTCCCTTTTCAGGCACATAAATAAATAAGCCGATTTTTCTCAACATTTTACCGAGGGTTCTCAAGGGTCTCCAACGGTTGCCAAAGCGAACGCGACTCCAAATGCTTTTAAGTGGGTACCTGAACCAAATCACAAAAAAAGAATAAAAACAAATTTTGTATAAAATTAAAAAAAGCGTTAGTTGGACACCAAGCAATAAAAAGGACAATACAAATACAATAATAAATAAAAACAAAAGGATTGGCAACAGAAAGGGGCTTCAGTCACAAAGAACCTGAAATAATTGACATGAAATACACCGCATTACAATAGGAACAATAAATCATTCCCTCATTTACATCATTAACGTACACACACTATTTACATTCAACATTACCAATTCAGTTGGTAAACATCCAAAATCAATTATATTTACAGTTTTAAACAAACCAGAACATATTCAATTAGCGAGTAAAAAGCTGTTTCTTAAGTCTGGAATATTTCCAGTCTAAAGTCTAAAGTTTATTTATAAATGGAGCATGGCAAACACAACTTTCAAGTTTATGGCATCTAGTGTGTACATATGAATGACAAACATACAATATTTTGTAATAAAAATATGTCAATGAACCCAGCAAGCAGAAACAAGTAAGCGTGCTCTGGTCGCGAGTGCCTGACTAAAAGATACTCTATTTCCTTAGCTGGATCGGGCTCGACTGCTTTGGCTGGTTGCATACAGTCGCACAAAACCAATATACCCTTGTTACTCATTTTCGATATGACAGGACATAAAAAGAATGCCAATATGCCACAGACCTTCAAGTCATCAAAAAGCATCTGAGTCCAAAAAGGACAGCTGAGTAGCTATATATTTCAAATACAGCCAAATACAAACATACGTAGTAAATACATAGAACACAAAGAAAATATAATATTGTCAAATGTGCTGCAGATACCCTGTACCAAAGGCTTTGCAGTGAGTTGCTGCTCGGAGACTGTAAGTAGGGAAAACCATCTTAAGATCTCTTTAAGCTGGTTTACCTTACGAAATTAGCTTACCCAAGAAAAGTTCATATACAAACATACGCTCGAGAAATGAAATGTTTTTTCGCCTTTAACATGTTTCCTTTAATAAATGTATATTCCCTTCACATACATTTTTAATAGTTGCAGGGCAAAAAAAGGGTTTCCCAGGAGCCAGTCCAATGGCAAGGGCTGTTTTACTAAGCGAAGCACAGCTAACGAAATCTCTTACGAAGGCTGCAAGAACACATAAAACAATAAATAAAAGTGGAGCATAAATATGCCAAAAGGTGCCATTAAAGCTGGTTCCGGCTTTTCAAGAATCTTTAAAAGGTTCCAGCCGGGCATGTAAACATTTCTTCTTTTTTTCCCAGATTTTCATACATATATTTATGTGCATACTTAATGAATCGAATGTTTTATTAATGTAAGCATGTTGTTGCTGCTGCATGTGTCAAGCTCTCAAGTAACAAATAATTAACAGCTCCAGTGTCAACAAGATGAGCGCAAGAGCGGAAGAGCCTTCAGGATGCCTAAAGGACTTGAGCTCGAATACCAGCCGCGGGGCTGTAATCTGTTTAATGTAATTTGCAATTTATATAAAAAGCTATTGAAACTTTATTGAGCGCCGCAGCAGCTGCAGCAAGAACCAAAAAAAACAAGCTGATTTCTCTTTGAGGCAACATCCGCTTATTCCTTGCCACGGAAATAATTTGCAGGCGGGGTACTTGACGTATACATATATTGCGTATACTACATATATTCGTGCACACACCATAATAATGTGTAGAACGTAGCTATAGGCTATTTATTCAAGGGATGAACGAGTTTGGGCGTGTGCCTCCACGGCATCGATTTCTTGAGAGTGTATGAAATATGTGAACCTGATTTATTCATTGCGAATCGCAGTGCATGCAAATTTGCGACTTCAATTTGCAATCCTCGGCAATCTGCAGAACGTACAACACCACCAAAAACAGCAAAACATACTAAACCCATAAAAAAATAGTTGCCATCAACTGGCTCTGCACATTTGTGACACGGACTCATGTTTTGAGTAGTTCCTTTTGCAGTATGTCACTCTTAAGCAAGCTTATACTATGACTCACGTCATTTTCTCTTCATTTGGATCACCTTGTCCTTGCCTCTCCCGTCAGATCCGTTTTTAAGGCTGCCTAGTTACGTGCACCTGTCCCAGGTAACGACGGCGGGACTATAGACTCTAATTATTTACATTTTACTTAACTATTTTTGCCAATCAATATCAATATCTCTATATATAAAACTGTTTGTCCTGACTGACTTGACTGACTGACTGACTGATTTGTGATCAACGCACAGCCCAAGCCGTAAGAGCTAGGAAGCAGGAATTTAAATTCATTTGAGGGGTGTTTCGCACTTTTTACAAAATCCATTCCACCCGCAACTGTGGAAATTTAGCGAAAAAACTTTACTTATTTGCTTGGTTTATCGGCGTTAATATCTTTTTCAAAAATCTTTATCAGAAATTATTCGACACGCCTTCGCAAAGTTCACCGCTGTTGGATAAAAAATGCGGGTTAAAGGTTTAATAAAATCAAGTTTTTTATTCGGCCTCAATATTCTTATTGCAAGACTAAGAAGGGCAGAAACCTCTGATTCATAACATAAGATTCGTATGCTATGCAGTTAAAACATATTTTTAAATAGATGTGAAGACGGGTGTGTACTTAGTGGAAAGGTAATATCTAAAATTTGTAACACGGGCAAGGCCGGGCAATACCCACTGTTATGCATACAATATATCTATTCAATTTATAATTATAATAAAATGCTTTATATTTTAATGCAACCTACTAATTAAACCAAGGATTTCAAACACACCTATATGCCGTATTGGTTTGATTCCGATACATGTGCTGTGCTGCCTGCAACTTAAAAAACGAATCTATAAAATGAAAAAATTTAAAAGTGAGAGCTTTCCATTTAAGTGGATATTCTAACATGGCTATATCGAATTGACTATTGATACGGTTCAAAACAAAATAAAAATATCTGGACATCTGAAACCTTGTAAAGGAAAATTGGCAATAACGGCCTGTTAACTTTATAAATCTGATAGACCATTTTTTGAAAGTAATTCAATAGGTAAATAAGCTTGACAGTACCCCAATGAATGCATAACTTTACAGTTTCCACTTATTTTTAGTCGAGTAGGGTAATAAGGATAACCCTTAAGCTCTGCCAGTTTAAAGAATACTCATGTTGCAATAACAAAGTGAATTCGTGTAAAAAGTATGTATTCACAATTCATGCACGCCGTTGACACAAGGACCTGACATATTTGCTAAAAATAAAATTAACAGCCCAGGTCGTGTCAGAACAGCAAATAAAAATTAAAATATATAATAAATATACATATTATTGTTGGCACCAATTTAAACAAAAAAAGCCTGCCCTATCTTTTGCAGCGGCTGACAGCGCCACGTCCTCTGAAAACTGGTAATTGAATAAAGCCGCCCACAATTGTAATACACGGACTGTCAGCAAAAAATAGTGTGTAAATTAAGGTTTTAAAGTTTCTGCGCAGACAAAAAGAGATAATAGTAATATAGGCAAAGAGAAGCGTGTCTCTTGAAAGTAGTTGACTATGACATACTCTATACAATGTTGATTCATGTGTATTTTTTTTCAGCTTTTTGGCTTCTAGTCAGGCACTAAGCTCGTGGAGTATGCACAATCCCTTGACTAGTTAGTATTTGAGTTAAGTTGAATGCGCGGAGTAGAATCATAAAGTTCACGTATCAACTTTAATTCCCATAAAACAAAATAAACAAAACTGAGGAAATTCTTTTTTTAAGCTTTCTTCTTTTTTCAGTCGCAAGCCGCACACAAATATTTGAAAAGTTGAAAAAATACAAAAGTGAATACGAAATGTTTTTCCATTTTGCTTTTTGTTTTTTATATTTCTAGCATGGGTTTCTGACCTCCTCCTGCTCCAGTCCCGTAAATATTGAGGGTATGAAAATAAGCGAAAATCCTTTGCAACGAGGCTAGCATCTGACCTTTTTATTACGGGGCAATGGAGGCTGACTATAGTTGTTGCTGCCACTGTTGGAATGACTGATAAGCAAAAGGGTCGCAATTAGTCGATGTCCTTTCTTCTTGTTAACATCGAGCTGCGCCTAACAAAGCTCTTTGGCATGGAAGCACGTTCTCAATTCGCTATTAAGTTTCATGGGATAGCCAGTAGGAGCCCATTTACTGCCATGCTTTGTTCTGGCAACTCGCATAACTTTTGTCCGTTCGATACGTATAAAAATCAAACTACAATTAGAAACAGACGCACAGTCGCTCTGGGGTTCCACTTGGGACTATTCAAGGCGAAGCCCAAGCCACACGCACACACAGACTGCGGAAAGCTACAGCTTATAATGCTTATGCAGCACTATGAAGTGGTATAGTAGTAGGCCCCGAGTTGTTGGCCAAACGAATAAATTCTCTTGTTTGCTTAAGGCAACGTATCAAATTATCTATTTATGTTTAAGACTAGCAATGTATTTACAGCTTAACTAACAGCAGGATAAACATACAGAGGCTCAATCAAACCGTTGTCGGCAGCAAGCGAGGGCGGCAAATTTATAAAATATATCGACTAAGCCAGACCAGGGCCATAGTTTGTCGGCTCTTATTGTTGGCCTTTTTTGTGATTTATTTGGCTAAGCTGTGTCAGAGCCATGCAGTGCCAGAAATCCCGCACACAAATAAGACCAAAGCCTGCTTTGTTAATCAAGTCCGGCAAACTAAACACATTCCTACAAATATGTATGTATCTATGCCAGCCACAAGCCGCGCCCGCCGGACACTTCATTTGCCAAGGAGTCGCCATGTCCCGTGTATCATTCTATTGAATGAGACGCACGAGCGCGCAGCCCAGAGGACTGACAGATCCTTTCGGCCTAGGTGACAGGCGCTTGACACATGCGGGTCAGCAGGCAGCTAACTTAGCCAACGTGTTACAAAATAAGAAATATGCGCACAGATTTTTTTTGCGTCTGGCTGTGTGTACGAGTACATACATATAAATACGACCAAGCAGCCTATACTCAATACCCATGGGACGTAACACATTAAGTTTTGAGTGCAAATGAGTTAATTATTCGATTATCTAACCGCTTTTTCGGCGGCCACAAGCAAATTAATCATTTACCTAAACTGTCTGCGTTCCGCAGAGTAATGATCGTCCATTTGGTATGTCTATAAATTGCAGGCCATTATTTACATGTGAGCAAACATTCTCGCACATACTCGCTGGCACGCCTACGCCCCTCAATCAACGAGCAGCAGGCACAGAGCGGTCCTGGGCATTGTAAGCTGATTGTGGCATCTGTGGCTGCCACGCCCACTTTCACCTACCCCTGCTATTAGTTGCCTGTTTTCTGCTGTCGCTCATTAAAATGTACATTCAAACATTTTGCAAATACATATTAAGAAACCTTTTACGCGAGTTCCTTTAATCACGCGGATTTTGTGCCCGCACGCGCAGGGGCGCGCGGAAACCCTGCGGCAACAAAGCCAGGTGCTCACTGTTCTTGTTGTTGGAGAAATTCCGGCTGCGTGAGTGCCTAGACTTAGTTCTAGGAGGTGTACGGGACACACAAAGATGTCGTCGCCGAAATCGAGCGGAAACGAATGCATAATAAGACCGAGTGCCACAGCCTATTGCCAAGTAGGCCGCACTCGCATTGACCATGGCCATGAACTTTATTTGTGCACAACCCTGCCGCTGCTGTTGCGGATGCTGCTGCTGCTGCGGCTGCGGCTGCGGCTGGGATTACGTAATGAAGGCACTGCCAGACAAACGTCTCGAAATGAGTTCACACACTGCCACTTGAGCACTTGACGTTGCCCATCATCTCCAAGATGAGCA